TCTTTCCCTTTTTCCATCCAGGACAAGCCCATCTCTTTGTCCTGTATTTGAGCAGCATTTGATCTGGGGCAGGGGTAAAGCCACAGGAAAAAACGTTGCACCACAAATAGCAATTAGGAATAAGTTTTGTTTATTTCCTTTGGTAGCTCTCAAAGCCCTTCACAAAGGAGCTCAGTCTCACTATCTCCATTTTACAGGCAAGGAGGTGGAGGTGTAGAGAAGGGAAGCAGCTTGACAAATGAGATCACAGATGAGATCCAGAGGCAGAGTCTGGACTCGTACCTCTCTTTTCTGATCCCTAGTCTAGTATCCTGGCCACTGCTAAGGGCAGCTGGAGATAGGAGCAGTAATGGCAGAGCTGACCGCTGGAGCACTGTGGTTCCTCTGAACTAGTCAGTTGCTTGCCAGCATGGAGGATGATGGATGTTTTCCCCTGTAGCTGCTCTGATTCCCTGTCTTCCCTGAGGCCTAAGAAGGCAGGACAAATTTCTCTTAACGTAGTGATTCTGTTATTTTTTTAGAGCAGCTGTAGGTCGGTGCTGCAGGAGACATCCTCCCCCTCCTGTCTCCTGGGCACTCGGAACCCTTGCCAGACTCCAGAGAGGAGCTGTTAATTCACAGACGATAGATTGCCTAATGGTGGGGAAGCTAGTGTGCCTGGCTTTGTAGCGGAGATCACCCTGCTACCTCCTCTGGTCTGCTTTCACTTTCTCTGCTAACTCTCACACAACAGATAATGCATCAGCAGCCTGTTGATACCCAGCATTGTCATATAGGGGCTGCTAAGTCTCGTGGCGTCCTATTGCTCATTGCTTCTGAAGTTCTGGAGCTTGCTATCTCCTCAGCCTGACTTCACCTCAGATTGCATGATATCTGTTCAGTCCTAGAGACGTGTTCAGGGAGCAAGCACACATTGCACAGCCTGAAGAGAACTCTTGTGGGAGAAAAATGGCAATACATTCGGTGCCATGGCTCTGCAAGGAGCTGGATAATGAAAATATCATTAGAGGAAATGGAAAATGCTGCTTCTCCATGGCCCAAGCAAGGCCCTGAGTATTTCACAGCAAATCCTACAGGAAGAAACCCACAGACAAAGAGGAAACTGTGTAGAATAAGTTTAAAAAGAAAAGGAAAGTGAGAGAGAGATACTGTTGACGTAAAGGCTGCATTCAGTTTGTAAAGGTTGTCCTTCTGCTCTGTGTTTTGCTGTTGCATTTTGTTTTATCTTCCATCATAGACATACGTACAGTTCTCAGCATGCTCCAGGTGTTGGAACTAACCATACATAGCTGCATCCTGGGCTATAGCTATGCTGGGAGACAAAAAGCAGACGTTGAAGCAGGCATAAGCATGTCACAGTCCTACACCCACATTACTGGACATCAGCGCTCCTGTAGCTTGTGCTCAGAACACTCATACAGTGCCTGGTAGAGATAAGCTTTGAATAGATGGACTATGGCATCATTAGCAGCTTATCCAGCCCTCACGCACAAGAGCTAGGAGCTGCATTGACGAATTAGGTGTACTTGGTCTCTACCTAGCCAATGATAAGAATTTGGGCTGAGGCATCCCCTCAGCATGAGCCAGATGATTTCCATTGTGGAGAGGATTATGGATTGCGCTATCTGGTGAATTAGGAAAAGACCCCAAGTTACCCCAATTTCTTGCAGTCAATCGGTTTTTCAAAACACTAAAAATCATTTGGAAAACAAAAGAAAAAGTACTCAGATTGCCAATCACCTTCTGCCTCCGAAACACAAATGACCCAGGCCCTTTGCAAGAGAAGGGCCCTCTGAATCACTTAAGGCTTCCCCTCAATGCTATCCATTGGCTTGAGGGAGAAAAGATCAGAAGGATCAGTAGCCTAGTGTGGTTTGACAGCAGTGCGTTTCACACCAGGAAATCAGCACAACTGAGCAGCCTGGCCCCAGGAGGCTCTTGATTCCTCTGCACCCACCTGACCACATCTCATGCTGTGAGCTCGGGTCCAACCTCCATGATTATCTGCCCTGTTGGCTCACAGCCTGACTCTTTCGCTGCTAGGCTCCACAGGCAGAATGACTCAACCATGGTGTGGGATTTGACCTTTGCTTTCAGTGTTGATGTAGCTGGCTTGAGCTGCTTAGTTCCAGGAGCTAGAGCTGGAACTCAAGCACAGGGATCAAAGGCAGTATGGACCAAGCCTTTGATGCCAAGGGATTCCACTCTCTCTCCTGTCTCTTCCAGGTGTCTCTAGACCTTCAGTAACTGTGATGGCCCTTTCTGGTATGAACGGCAGCACCCTGTGGTCCATCCACCTTCCCGAGGAGACTCTGAGTGTGCAATGCAAAGGGCTGTCACTGGGAGCACCCGCAGAGCCTGTCTGCCTTGTGACGGGAGCGTCTAAACTCCTCACCCTTCTCAGTGCCTCCACAGGTAGAGTCAAATACCAGCATGTTAGAAAGATGCGGCTTCTTTCTTTTCGTTAAAGGACTAATAAGCATGAATAATTCCGGGCTGGCACTTCATAGTGTCTGTTATGTAAGGACACACAGGAAAGGGTCTAAACACTAATGAGTTTCTAGTTACACAGGATAAGAGAGAATCCAAGCCATTACTGCTCTGTGGCAGCATCTTCATCCTACCATCTAAGACCGTTTCAAAGTGTTAATATCATCCTGTAGCATTTTCATAGCCTAAAGGTTATATAAGGGCTGTTTTCATCAATCCAGAGCTGTAACTACATCCTCAGCACCTACCTAACAACACTAAAAACTGAACGCCATTCTTGAAGAAATTGTGTAAGGGTGTGTGCTGCAGTCAACTAAACGTTCCAGAGAAATTAGTCCTGCAGAAGACTTGGTTAGATGTGAACCAGTATTGCATTTTTAATCACACTGATCATGTGCATATCCATTCTCTGATTGCTGTTTGTCCTTCCACATTAATTAACTGGAAGAAGTAATCATGGGTGAGTATAGGAGAATGTTTTTTGGAATCAGAACAGAGAATGGAGAGACATAAGAAACTTTGGATTGAAGTGGCAAACCTAGTCAATTGAGCAGCAGCACTTAATTTTCAAATGTTTTTAGGTACCAGATTACTCACGCAGCTCGGTGTTTGTATGGTCAGGACAATAGGCTGTCCCCTTTAGCAGTAGTAGTAGTGTTAACAATGTGCATAAGCATTTGCAGGTCTGGCCTTTGGTTTCCTTTGTCATGCAGAGCCAAGCTCTATCCCACACAGCAGAAGAAAAGGAAAAGCATTTTTAAATCCTGATTGAAAAAACAGAAGTCTTGGCAAAGGAATTCCCAGACTAAAAGCATCAAATTTCACTTTGCCTTCTTTGGGTGTTTAAGTTAATTTTACAATTTGTAAATCAGATTTTACTGAGTGTACATCTGGGTCCATGCTGGACCATTTCACATCATGTCTGCTAACATGTTTTCACCCTGAGGTGGAGTGAGCATGCCATGTTGGAGTGGCTATTTGCTGCTGGGAATTTAACTGAGTCACAGATTTGCACTTTGAATATCAGAACTGCCCATCTGTTCCCTTCCCTGATATCCACCAACAGGCTTTCCTGCTGGCTGAGGAAAACAACTGCTGTCCTGCAGAGCAGCACTCTTATATAGGTTTTCCTCCCAAGAGTGAACATGAAATATTCTCTGCTCCTTCAGGAAGTGTGGTAGGCTTAGGTCTGTCTAGAGTGATACCAGGAGGGAACCACAGTGGTACTGAGGCAAGACTCAAAGGCAGTCTGAAGAAATGCTGGGGGAAAAACTGGGTTTCCTACCTTGAGAGAGTGCAGCTTGCCCTGGTGTGTAGGCTCCTCTTTCCTGTTCTCAGGGAACTGAGAGAATCTCTCTTTTTCCCTCCTTCGAGAAGGTTTTATGAAACCCTCTGGGGATGTCCACCGGTTCCCCAAATGCTGCAGGTCTCTCTCATCCTGTTCCTCCTGCAGGCAAGACCATCTGGACGCTGAACTCCATCCACCTTTCAAATGGGATCCTCGCTGCACCAGCTGCCACTCTTCCGGATGTAGATGGAGATGGGGTTGGGGATATTGTTGTTCTGGCCCTCAAAGAGACACAGGTACAGCATATCCCTGGGCAGGGTCTGAAAGGACCATGACTATCTAGAGGAAGAACAGGGAGCCTGATGTGGAAAGGCTGTAATAGGGGATGCAAGAGCCCCTAGGCAGGTAATTTTTCTTCCCTTAGGTTTCCCTGAAAAGCACTCTCCTCCTTTCAGTGGATCAGAGCAGTGGATCAAGCAATAGTGTTAATATCCGCATTTCTTTTCAGCTGGGGATGGAAAGAAGCGTCATTATTTTTGTCTGACTGAGATTTGAGAATTATTTGTTTTCCTTCAGCAGATAACTTGGTTTCAAGTGAATGTTTAGCAGCAGTACTGGAAGCCTTGTTGAGATCCTTGGAGAAAAGAGCATTCAGTTTATCTGTAGGAAAGAAGCACTTGTGTGATTAATACTGATGTAGATTTCCTCTATGCTCATCCCTCCCCACAGTTCTGGCATTAATGTTGTTAGAAGAGTTTAGTTTTTGAAGTTCCTTCTATCTTTGATGCTTTCACAGCCAAGAGAAAAGCATGAATGTAAGGCTCCCAGGAAGCCAGACTGAGCCAAGAGGAAGACACCACTTGCTAGACCTGTCTGTGGAGGGAGAGAGCAGTGGCGCTTCATGCTATGGGGCCAGGGAATCTTCTGAGAGCTCAAATGCTGAAAGCACTGCCAGAAATCTCTTCATCTCTCTCTCTCTCTCTCTCTCTCTCTCTTTGCAGCCCGATGTGTTTTTTATCTTGGTGTCGGGAAAGACTGGGACTGCTTTGGGTGGGCCTGTGAAGTACAGCACCAATGGAGAAGGGAAAGTGATTGGTCCCCAAGTCCACATCACCAGCCGGGGAGCTATTTACATCCTATTTGGTTTTGGTAAGATGCACTGTGGCTCTCCATTAATTCTACCTAAAGTAGCCCAAAACATCCCTGGGATGTCTCTACCATGCCTTCCACTGTAAAAGCTGGGAGTAGACAGTATGGGAAAGAGTCTCACTGCCATTATAAGGGAGAGTACAGGAGCACCGGTACAGGCTAGCCTGGAATACCTTGGAGTTTCCCAAAGCCTGCTTTGCCCACGGCACATCATGCCAGGGAAGTTCCAGCTCTGGGTTTTTCTTTGCCCTTGGCCATAAGCTCAGTGATCTCAAGGACTCTCTGTGCTATTAGGGCATTCACCATTACAGGCAAGACTCTCCATCTTTACTCTTCCTGACAGGTAATGTTCAAGCAGTTGCCCTGAGGGATATCTTTACCCAAGCCAGAAACCGGGACAGCTTCCCCGCAATGCTGCAGCAGGAGGAGCCAGAGTGGGAAAAGCGCAGATCTGTCAACCTGTCAGAGCTCATTGACATTTACAGGTAGGAGATGAACTCGTCATCCTGCTTCTGCTGGGAGAGGAAGGGAAGAGTGGGCACTTTTTAGTACTCCTAGAGATGGTCCCTTCTACTTTAATACTGCCCTTCTTTTCATTGCCTGGTTGATATCAGTACTCCAGAGAGCCTGTTATTCCCTCCCTGTCCTGGTGGTTGTCCTACTGAGAGAAGTGCAGTGGATGTTAAAAGGGAGTCTTTTGCTTCTCTAGCTCCTTGTTCCTTTCTTCCGCCCCGTATGCATACTTTGAGGAAAAAAAGGTGTTCCTAGCTAAAGGAGTCTCTTTGGGAAGTTCAGTCTGTGTACAGCATTGTGGGCCTGGATTTCCCAGCCCCTTCTCCTTTACCACCAAGTTGTTGTCAATGTCAGCCTGGATAAGAATAAAGGGATCAAATGTGAACCCCTAAACTCCATGCTTTTTACAATAACTTAGATATTCAGAAGAACCCAGACCTGGATATAGCCCACTTAACTGAGGAACACACGTTAGGAAGCTCAGCTCTATCACTGGGGAAAGACAGTTGTCTCCAAGAATGATTCAAACCTTAGGTAGGATGAGTTGCCATGTGGAAAGGCAGCTAGTGCTGAGATGTGCAAATACAAGCCTAGGAGTACAGAGTCTCCTCTCTCTTTTCCATTTCTGCCAGTGGGGGTGTTGACTTCCTGCAGACAACGAAGGCATCTGACACAAACTGCAGCAACCTGCTTATCACCACCAAAGATGGCCTGATCCTGCTGCGGGGACAGGACCTGGAGCCCCACTGGACGGTGGAAATGCAGAACATTAGCAGGTTACATACTGGGGGCTTTTTTCTTTCCTATTTCTTTCCATGTCTCCATTTTCTATCTTTCACTGTTAATTAGAAAGCAATCGAGAAGAATTCTCCAAGGCTACAGAGAAATCTAAGAACTGGAGGTGTGCAGGTGCATCGCTGTGCTAGCAATGAGGGCAAGGGAGAGGGGGAGCAAGGAACAGATGGCTGGAAACCCTCTGAACTGTGTGCTTGTGAGTGATCACAGAAAAGGGGCTCCAGTCAGACACCAGTGTTAATGTCATGGCTACTGTAGCATCTAAGTTCAGGAGACTATTGGTAAATGATTCAGCCGGCCTGCTGTCCACGGCTGCCAATTGCCAGCTCAGTGGAGAGGAGCAGTTAGCAGTTAGCAATGTTAATAAGTGTTTAGAGAAGGTGTCCGAGTATTGCCCACAGATCTTAATGTTCCCAGAAAGTTGAAAGTCAGCGCCCTGATGCCAGTCAGCACACAGTCTATATACTAAATGTAAACCTTTAAATAGTATTGCTAGGCCTTGTCCTCAACCTCTGATTTCACACATAGAAATTAAGTAATTTGCTAGATCTCATGGGTTGATGCAGCTTGCCCAGTATGAAGTATTTGCAAAAGGCATTTGGGCACACTTGAGGGAAATTATGTGGGAAACAAGATGCTTGCTTTGCTATCTACAGGGAAGGAAACATCTCTCAGCTCAGTATTACCTAACTGGCAAGAGCCTCTAGAGAAGGAAGATATGGGATCTTCACTAAGCAAAAGAAATCATTGTCAAGTTAGGCCTGATATTCAAATAGATGTCCACTCTAATATTAGAGTCCCCACTTGAGAACTCTGATAGATGTCCTCAAAGAGTGTTCCCCACTCTTTAGGGTTAGGGGGTGGGAGACATAAGTAGTGGCCTTAGGAATGACTTATGGCTAATTGATCTTATTATGGGTCAAGGAGATGGACTAAATGTGGTTTTGGCCCAGAGTCTGCAGATTTCTGGAGTGTCTCGGGTCTAGTTTAAAAGGTAAGTGTATGCTGACTAAGCCAAGCCAGTGCATACATACTGTAAAATCAGTTATATGCATGAAATTTCTAAAGCGGCCCACTAATTAATTGGAAAATTTCTAGGGGTTCAAATCAAGAAGGGTTGAAAAGTGCTTTTTCTGTTCCATTTATAGACTCACAGAATCACAGAACAGCTGAGGTTGGAAGGTACCTCTGGAGATCATCATGTACCACCCTTCTGTTCAAGGCAGGGTCAACTTGTGCAGTTTGCCCAGGACCATGGCTAGTCAGATTTTGAATATCTCCAAGGATGGAGACTCCACAACCTCTCTGGGCAACCTGTATTCCAGGTTCCTGCATGCTAGCCCTGTTTTCTCTGATTCCATGACCTCCCAAGGGACAGAGTACAACATGTGTACAGGAGGTGCCAGACAGGGATTGAAAAGTAATTTAAAAAAAAAACCTGTTCAAGGCCGCTGTGCTGAAGTCCTCTACTGTCTGTTTTTTCTGAGTTAGGAGAGACAAAATCTGGTAGACTGAGATCAGTGTAGAGAAGCAGAGTGAGTTGAGCATTTATTTTAGGATTTAGAGAAGTTCTGCTTAAGCAACACAGGCTAGGGGACAAATTCAGCTCAGGGTCGTCACCACAGAGTCAAACAACAACATGGAGACTTGATGGTGTCTTACCGAATTGGTCTCTGCAATTTCTCCAAAGGGACAAAAATGCCAGAGGCATTTTCAAGTCACCAATGTGGCATTTAGTATTTGAAAGGGAAGCAAGCTAGACTGCAAGAGTGGGGAGCCTGAGCTGGCATTGGTGATGGAGTCAGGAACCTTGAGGCCTTTTTTCACTGAGGTTGGCCCTACTTAGGCTAGTCATGTAATCATGTCTGCACGGATGCGTGGGGGAAAGGGCTCAGCTACAGTTCCTGGAAAGGCAGCTGGTTCCCCCGGATTTCCAAGCAGGTCTGTCCTTATTATGCACGCAGCAGATTTTAGTGCTCAACTTGTTTACACTAGGGCATATGTTTAGTTTGCAGTCGTACCAGGGAATGGAATCAGGCCAAGACCCCGGCACTTCCAAGGGAGTTCAGGCACTGCCACAGCTTCTTCCTATTCAAGAGGCCCAATCCGAGGTCATCATCAGACAGAACTTACAGAGCCAGCTGAGAGCTTCCTCCTTCCCTGGGTAAACCTGTCCCAACTACACTGCTCCAGCCAGACAGAGCCCAGCCCTTTGGGAACAGTCTCCAGTAAAAACAACCTGACTGCTGCAGGTGTGCTGCATTTCCAGATAGCTTTTGACAAGATCCCTGAAAGACGATAAAGGAGAGTAGTCACAAAACAAGGGCAAAGTTCAGAGACCATGAAATTGGGTAAGCAGTTGAAAATGTATGTTGTTAATGGATGTTTCAGATGAGAGAGGATTAATAGCAGGTTGTTACTGTGGGGATTACAGTTGGGCAGGAAGTATTATTAGCTTTCTGGTTAATTTGAGGAAAGTGCACAGGGGATCTGTCAGCTGGTTGGTAGTATCTAAAATAAAACGCTTTTCTGCGTTCAGCTGATGGGATCTGCCACTGCATGTAACCCCTAAGGGACTTGAGAAATGTTACCTTAAGAGAGGTGTTTAAGTTAGCATCCATAGTATAGAGCTCTCCACTTCCTTTTACTAGTGGAACACTTTCAAGCTATGAGAGTGTATCATGATATTGCCTTGAAAGCATTGTTACTGGTTACCAAATGGGTCTGTAAAGCAAATAGCATTGTTTGATGCATTAAACGTAAATAGTCAAGCCAATACTGTACTGTGGCGTTGCTGTTCTTGAGCTGTTCTGGTGTATGCAGTTTTAAGTGGAAGCTGGAAAAACTGGAGGAAAGGGCTGGAAAAAATGCTTTAGCATGGGAGATTTAAGTCATTGGGTTTAGATGATCAAAGAGAAGCCTGAAAGGTGAGTTCATAAGCGTGTATAAGTAATGGGAGCTAACAGACATTTTAATCTTGCCATAGCAAGAACAAGTGCCTTTGAGTGAAATCCATTCATGTTCAAGAAACTAAAAAGGCAGCCATGTTTCTGTGGCTGAGATTAATCATTAGAACTGGCTGTCAGGAGATTAATTCATCTCATCTTTATATTTCCACAGCAAAACTCATTCCTTTCTGGTTGATAGATCTAGTCAAACTCAGCATACTGATACTTGGCTAATTGGGTGAAATACACCAGTCTGTCATAAACAAGAGGAGGGAGGACATGGTCTGATGAGCCCATCTTGGCCTAAAGTTTCTGATTCTGTGAACTTTGAAGAATCATCTGTGATTATTTAGAACCTTATGTCCAGCTGCAGTGAACTTAAGGAAGACAGAGATGAGATTCAGAAAGCCAAAGGCAAGCAAGATGGTTAGAAAACAGTTATAATGAGAGATGTTCAAGGAATAGTATTATGTTATCCAGAAGTGGAAGAATGAGAGGGGACTTGATTAATACTGCTTAAGATTATGTAAAGTCTTGTAAAACCACCAACAGTAAGAAAACAAAGAATCATGGGCTGACATTAGCACTAGGTATATTAAGAGCCACCTCACACAGCTATGGCAGCCTGGGAAATACAATTCCAGCAGGAGGTTAAATCTGCTGATGAATTTTGAAAGGATTGAGTATTTTTTTTATGACCATAGCACAACTGTACAGATTCTCATGCTGCAGAAAGAATAACACAGACCCATGTCACAGGATGATAAACAGATGTCTACTCAAGCCAGCAAGGGATGCCCCCTGCACAGAGAACTCTGAAGAATGGCTAACAATCGTTATGGGCTGCTTGATCATTTTTCACCTCTGCAGTCCACCAACAAATGGCTCCTACCAGTAAGAACAGTTCTTAGTGGATGAAATATCTTATTCAATATGGCAAATCCTGACTTTGTAACAGGCATAATGGAAGATGAAAGCAAGTGTGCTGTCTCAGTCTGAAATCCTTGCTTTTCTGCAAGGGGGGCTGAGTGTTTCTTTGTCCAAATTTGCAGCCAGCCTGCCCCGGGTTACTTCGGTACCGACCAAACCCTGGACTTCATGCTACAAGCACAGACTGGAGATGGGAAGAAAAAGGTAAAACAAGAGGAGACAAAAAGGGCTGTGGTGATAGAGGAGCGAGGGAGGTTGGGTTGAATGGGGCAGTCATTCCCTACTCCTGTCTTCCCATTTCTGTGGCTGACACTGGTCACCGTTTGGCCACAAGTGTGACGGATAACGGCACAGACAATGCCAATGCAAGGGGGCTTTCTGTACGCCCACGCTTGAACTCCTGTTAATGCTATATCTCTTCCCTGCTTTGAGGTGGTGGTGATAGATGGAAAATCAGGCCTCCCTGTTTGGAATCAAGAATTCCCATGGCAGAAGCAAGATCTCGATGCACTGTCAGTGATGACTTTGAACAAGAAATCTGTTTTTCTCTTCTGGGCTGATGAAGCACAATCTGTATTACAAAGTTTGGTGAGCAAGTGTCCTTTCTTCCCTTTGAGATTCCTCTGTGAGGCATGTGCTATCTCTGTCTTTTATTCCTAACATAACTGAACTTGAAACCTGCCATATGAGAGTACTGTCAGGGACATCTTGTCCTCTTGCTTTGACTCTCTGACTTGTCTGAGTCTGCACATGTGTATTTGTATGTGAATTCTCCCCCAGAAAGCTTTATTGACAGAAAGTTTGCTTCCACAAAACTAAACTTCTGCAGGAATTTCATGGTTTTTTATGGAACTCAGATTTTCCTATTGTAAACTTTTTGTCTATACCCAGAGCGTTCCTTCTTCTCAGAACACACGCACACAAGTCACTGTGGATACCCAAACTTCCAGACTCCAGCTTGGCCCATCAAGCTGGCTTTCACAGAGCCAGATCTCAACCTTGTCAGGCAGAGGCTGGGAAATAAATTCTGATTCAGAAAGAAAAGTTTGCAGGATTTCAGGTCTGTAAAACTGTTGATCTTTTGATTGTCTGATCCATGTTAAGGCAGCACAGTGTCAGAAAGCTCCTTTATTTCTTTGGCAGAGGTGGAATCCTGTTTGCTAGCCTACTCTAACATTTCTATCTCCTCTTCATTCCAAAAGCAACCTGGTCCCAGAACTGAGCGCCCAAGGTTGCACCACCTCTATCTCCTACATCCGGTTTTTCCTACAGTCCTATTGGACCTCACCAATGCAACAGACAAAGTCATTGCATCAGCGGGTGAGTACAAATGGAGGAGAGACTACATAGGCTCAAAGAAACATGGAGGGAGGGAGAGGTAGCTGTGAGAGACTGTGGAGTGTAGCTATGCCTTCAAATGTTGTACAGAAATAGTTCGACCCTAGGTTTCCTAAGAGCAGAGTCTCACGTACGTCTAACAGTGAATTTAGTAATTTATTTGAATGACGGTACAGCAAAGTAACAGCTCGAGCTGGGTGCCTCTGGGGAGGGACCCCGAACAAAGAAATTTTGGGGTAATTATACTCTCCTTTACAGTCAAATTTCCCCGCCTGCTAATGACAATCTCTTCCAATCTTCTTTACTGAGTCGGAGGTCTCTTTCCTCTTGATTGGTTCACGTCTACATCCCAGGACAGTTGGCTATGTTCCTGCTTCATACTTCATAGTGTCTTATCTTATCCGAAGGTTAACCGTTACCTCTCTCCATTGTGTGCTGTATCTTTGAGGGCTGGTTCTAGCTGGTTTTGCAGTCACATCCTCAGCAATGTCTCTCGAGCTCATTTACAATTCTGGCCTGCGGCCTGCAGGGTTCATCTACTTTAGGCACTAGTGCTAAGCTGGGCTAGAGCTAAATTAGCTCCCTTTTCTAACACAAAGGTAGCACCCTGAGGTCCACCAAGCAGAGGCCAGCAATAGAAAATCAGTTTCTTCTTCCTCCTGACTTGTCCAGCCCCGAGGTTGTAGTTTTGCAAATAGAAAACTCGCCAAGTGTCTTGCACATGTTTAGACACAGGAAGGTCTGAGCTTGATCTCGTGCATGTTTTACACTGGAGAAATTCCAATGCTTTCCATGGAGCTATCTGTGATTTAACACAGTGCATGAAGAATCACTATTCAACTTTTCTCATTCACCTCACATACACTTCTGCCTTTGTTGGCCATCCTTTCCTGCTCTCTAGGGCAGCAGCTGTGCCGCTTCTTTCTCTCCCTTTTTGAAAGGGGGGAGGAGGCATCCAAAATATTTAATATATGTATTTTTAAGAAAAACTAGATCTGGCTTTAACACCTATACAAAATTGTGCACTCTCAGTTGGATTCCTGTGCTCCTCCTAAAGCAGTTCAACCAACAGCCAGCCTATTTAGCATGGCAGGATGTGAGATAAAAGGTAAGTTCATCTAGTACTGAGTCCAATAGGCCAGGAGGCAGGGACATGCTGCTAGATAGTGACACACCTAATCAAAATTGTATCAAAACCACAGTTCAGTCAAGAGCAAATAAAAGATCGTTATTAGAGGGACTTATTAGAAACTGGGATTTCTGAGGTTTGTACAGCTCATTCTGCTGTGGCTGGGATGAATTGACTTCCCCATACTTTGCCAGTTTTCCCTTCTATCAAGGTAATATAGCACCTGCTAACAGGAAAGGGAAGGGAAGCTCTCTGTAAGTGAACTGTATTACCAAAGTATATGTCTCTCCTATGTGAGACTCAAAAATCTCACCTGGCACCACAAACTTCTATTTCTGATCTACATTTCAGTTTATTTCCATTGACAAAAAAATTACCTAAAAACTGTTTTCCCTGATGAATGAAAGTACATACAACTGGAGAATCAAACTGAACTCACCCCCTCAGTCCAGTGGGTGTTTTGGCTGAGTAGGGATTGAGATTTCTTTTGGAAGAAAGAAATCATTCACTCCTCACCAATATTTTCTCTCCTTTTTCTGATGGACCAGTTGGAATTAATGATCTCCAGAAGGATGCATTTTACATCACTGTGACAACAACTGCAACCTCTGAAAAACAGCCAGGATTTTTCTCAGTCAGCAAGCTAGGCCTGAAGTGGGCCATGATGGCTCAAGGCCGAATGGTATGGTTAAAGGACAACGCCACCCCCAAAATCAGCCGTGGGGAAGTGAGACGATTTCTTGCCCGGCTGAAATTTGTTGACTTTCCTCACAAGGTGAGATTGTACAGGAATCTCTGGTGAAATCTAGGTGTGTAAAGAGATCAAATCTCTTCCCTGTAGACACAGTTAAATGCTCTTTATGGGGTGGGATACACAAACACTGTGTGCAAGATGACCACCCCTTTGGGCATAAGCTGGATGGAGGCCTCGCTGTAATTTGGCAGTTGAACAAGGAGGGGACCTTAGAAAGAACCAGAGATGATGATCACAGGGGACTGAGAGACTCATAGAGGGAACAGAGAGGTGGGACGGGGATTCCTTGTTTTGACCATGGGCAAACAAGGGTCCCCCATGTGGTGGTGTCCAAGTTCAGTTGCTGACCTCTGAAGTACCACTTTTCTCTACCAGGCTGGATGATAGTAGGTTTTGGCTTTGTTTTTTTGTTTCCCTTTCCTTCTCCAGCTCTAGCCTGGTGATTCCTCAGGTTTCAGCTGGACATGTGGCCTGCATGGTGGAATAGAGGAAGCTGCTCCGTGGGTCTTCATGAAAACTGCTGTGTAGAGGGAATGGGGGCTAAAAGCACTTCCACTTTCTTCAGCTCTCTGGGGAATGCTGATGGGGGCAGATTTGTCCTAGGCAGACCTGTCCTTTACCAGAGGAACCTTGTTCAGCATCTCCCCCTCTGTATGCCCTTCTTGCATGCTCCCTTCCAGGTAACATGGAAATGTGAATTTAGAATTTATATATATGTATACACATATATACACACACATATATATATATATATAAAAGAACAGTTTGTATATGTGTGTGTATATATGTATATAACAATTTATACAATATATGTATATTTTTTGTATGTTTAATTTATGAACAAGATTTAGGAAACTCCTTTTTATGTCCAAACAGTATTCCCTGGCAGTCAAATAAGCTCTAGGCCTGAAGTGGGCCATGATGGCTCAAGGCAGATGGTATGGCTAAAGGACACCGCCTGCTTTAATCTTTATATTGTTTGAGAGAAGCCTCTACCTGGCCGCTGCAGGGCTCATCTTGTCCACAGCCTCTTCTGAGCGCTCATCCCTCTTCTCCATTCTGTTCCCAAATTCACAAACTAGCTAGCTCTCTGGCTGAGTTATCTGATCTAGGAAAGAAGGTCACCACACCATTTCCCAGGCCTTGCACTTGTGTATTTCTCTTCCCAGTCCCAAGTTCAAGACACGTTCATGTGGGTGATGTAGAAGCAAAGGTTCACATCTCATTTCTATCTCCTCTTCTTCCACCCCTAAGCTTTTTATGAGCCCAGAGTGTCAGTGTAACATCACACTGCCTCTCTCCCACTGCAGCCCAGTGGGCTGAGTCCCCCTTTGCAATGCACCGTAGCCCTTTTCTGCTAGATTCCCAGCAGATCCCAGCTAGTGAGTGTCGCACTTAAAAAATCACACTAGATCCAGGCACAGAAAGGCTGTTTCTTCTCACACCACTGCTTCAGGGTATGGAGGCTCAAACAAAGAGGCAGAGCTGGAAAACTTTCCTGTACGTTTTGATCCCAAAGTTATACCAGCCTGAGGGATTCCCTGCTGTAACAGTGAGGAACAACACTGCACAGACTAGCACTGGAATAGTGGGCTTACTATAGTAAGTGGGCACACTATAGTGGGCTTAACTATCATTCCCCTACCAGCCTGGCCCGGTGTGCAGTTCCAGCAGGAACAGACTACCCTCAGGGCATGTTTGCTCTTGATATGTTTTGTGCTTTGAACTGTGCCTCTTAGTGTGCTGTCAGTTTCCTGTGTTGTACTTGCAGAGCATCTACATGAAGTTTCTTGTAATAGACATGACCATACATAAACCAGGCACTCTGGTGCCCCAGTGGCTCCCCATACTGCAGGGCAACACTAGAAAGTGCTTTCTCAATATGCCTTTCTAGGCCTGACCTTTTACATTAGGCAGAGCCAGGCTGAGGTCAGGATAGCAAACGGCTCTTCTGTCCTCCTGCTGACATGACTCCCTTCCTGACTCTGTGCACGTCCCTGTGAGTAGTGAGGCAGGATTGCAGGATTTTGAGCTTCCCTGCAGATGGGCAGATCTACCATGGGTTTGCTCTTTACACCTTTCCTTGCACCATCACCTTCTCACTTCCCCCTCCCTGCATCTCTGTAAAAAGCTTCCAGGGTAGCTCTTCAGGATTAGCTGCAAGCCCTGAGGCTGGCCCTTGGGCCCTCTTAAAGCCAGAGCCTGTTAACAGTTTGTATATGTTTAATGGTATTTTTGTGTAAATAGCTTTGTATATATTAGCACTACTGTAGCAACGGCTCTTGGCCTGTGACTTTCCTCCAGACAGGGGTAGTGTGTATAATATACAGTCAGTTAATACAGCTGCATAATGCAGACTGAAAGCGTGAGGACCAGTAGCATAGGAGGACTAAGCAGGAGTGCCTCTTCCCTCCTGTCTTAGCCACCACCTTGCTGGAAAAGGTGAGGCGGCAGTTACCTGAAGTAGCTATTCTTCTGAGGTTCTTCCTGAGAGAACTGATATTCAAGTGCAGTGACTTCAGCTCCCCCATAATGTGAATTCTGCCCCCACATCCCCACTGTGAATAAAGAGTCTGTCTGTATATTGTTGGGAAAACTTATTTGAACTGTGAACTGCAGTGGAGCAAATAAATACTGTGTACAGCATCAGTGTGTCATTTGAACCCCCGTTTCTCCTTTGAGAGCTTCCAGGTTTGCTTGATTTGGGGTTTGTTTGGGATTTTTTACAATGGGAGAGAAAGGGGTGGGGTGAAGAGAAGCAAACAATAAAGCAAAAGCTCAGACAAGGATTCTTAAAGGTTGTGGGGAAGCACAGTAGAAGACAGGTAAGAAGGTGCCTAAGAAATGGGTGTGGGGGTGAGGAGAGGCAGAAGAAGGGAGCATGTGGGAGTCATTCCAGATAGGAGAGAGGAGGGGAGAGAGATGCCTGAAAGCAACCTCTCATCCCTACTCCAGCAGCCTTTTTAAGCTGGGGGTGGGGGGAACAGGATGTTGGGTCTGGAAATGAATAAAGAGGGTGTTCTGATAGGACTACAGTAAATCGATGTGGGCACCCACACCCTACACTTTAGGGCAGATCTGAGGTTGTTGGAAGGTCCGTGTGACACCATCCAAAAAGACCCAGCACTGCGACTTGCCAGCTGGATTGCACTGAATATACCTATTCCAGCATTGCAGTTCTGTTGGGATTGAGACACTTCCCTCAGCTCTTGTCTGCCAATGCTTGGAGACAGCGGGCACCAACAAAATGCCCCATCCAATCCCACACTCCCCACCTCCCAGTTTCATTCTTCACAACTGAGGACCCCCTCAAATTGTGAGCAGAGTGGACCCATCCTGATACTGTTGGCTCTGCTGTGGCACTGGACCAGTGCCCACCTTCTCTTCCCCCAGAACATTAGAGGAACGAGCTCTCCAAGAACTTGCTAGTGTTTGATTCAGAGCTCAGCTGCCGTTGTGCCTCCCAAACCCCTCTGCTCTGCCCCTGCACACATCTCTAACAATGGTCCTCCCTGACTCTCTGTCCCAAGACCTCGTCCAGCTCCACCTCTGGTTCCCGCTGTAGCACTTTTTGCTGCAGCTCAGAGTAGAAATCGACTCCCTCAGAGACTGAATGGAGTGGCTTGTCTCGTTGCTGGTAGTAGCTGCTTATCTGCTGCTGTATGTAGCACTGGTGGTGCTGGGGCTGATCCTCGAAACTCCCATTGTAGCCCTTGATGTGGATCCGTTTGAACTCCAGCACCGTCTTGGTATAGGTATTGAGGGTAGTGACAGCAGAGGCCATGCAGCAGGTGAAGGAGGCCCAGGCCATGCTACAGGAGAGACACAAGAAAAGCACGTGCCATGAAAAGCCAGGTAGGGTAAGGAATCGAACCACATGCCCCATGACACACCCTGAGGTGCCAGGCAGAATCTGCTGACCTGGGGATGGGCATGAACTAGAAAGACCAGAGAGGTGCAGCTCATACCGTTGCAGCTCTTAGGTATTATCCCACCACCAGCTCCTCCTTAGAGCAACAGGGTAAGTACTGGCCATCTCTATCACAGGAAAGGTGGGGTACAGGGAAAAGAAAAAGGGCAGCTGGAAAGTCTAGAACTGCTCAGAGTAGGACAGCACAGCTTGGAAGCAGTTCTGTAATGCAGGGCTGTTCGGTGTCTCCCTGGGCAAGAGGCAATGTGTACTTGAGCATAACCAGATGGCCATCCCGATGTTTGATGTCCGCAGCTGGCACATCGCACAGGAGTGTTTAAGCCTTAGGGATCAATGTGGTCATCGCCAGTACAGCATTGCAAATTTAGCCTGCATCTTCCATGGGCACTTGCAAGCCTCATCCAACTGTTTTTCAAGTCAGTTATGACTTGTCAGCTGCAGTTTGGCTTCTTCGCCTTTAGAGAAGGAAATCCTGAGCAGTCTGCCTTTTGCATCTGCTCTCCCTGCTACAGCGCGCACATCTTGATGCCTGTGTCTAGGCTTGATGCTGCAGAAATAGCCCCTTCAAACCTTGCTCAGTGAAGATGCCAAACCGACATGTAACTTTAGTTAAACTGCAGAAAAGCAAGGCATGTTTGTGAGCATCATCACTGGCTTCTGCACATAGTGAAGAGCTGAGACTGAACAGCACCAACTAGCACAGGGCCAAACCAGATTAGTCAACAGGGCAGAAAGCACTTGATTAGCTGCTTTGTTTTACCAACTGTTGGTAGCTACTCATTTAAGCACTTAACTCAGCAATTATTCATTAAAGCAGGGAATGAGGCAAACAGGAGATCTAGCACAAGGAAAACCATGGTACATCTGTCTTCAGAAACAAAGAAGGTCTAGAAGGGAAAAGGAGGGCATTGGCAGAGTGTAGTGTGGTTGAAGCCCAAAAGCTTGGAGTGATGATGAGGGTTTCAGAGCACACATACTAGAAAGCCCAGCCGTAGTCCCATGAGTGTGGTCTCCAGTCCTCTGGTCCCAGACTGACTGTTGCTTGGAAGACTTGAGTGTACATCATATGTGCCACCATCCCAAGGAGACCTGACACAAGAAGATAAAGCAAGGAAGTCATGGCAGGAGCCAGAGTCACACACTTCAGCCTTGTGTGAAGAGGAGTCTCTCCTGCTGCTGCGCAAGGGCCAGCAGCTGGGACAACACCTCTCCAGGGCCCTTCCTGCACCATTATGTCTCCTTTCAGTTCCCCATCTCTCTCTCTGTTTCTCCCTGCTCACGTGGCTCTCTTTAGCCATGTGCTCTTTACTGCCTATTTTCCCTCTGGTTCCCATCAACAGAGGCAGTTGTATTTGAGAGCCTCTTGGTGTTTCTTCCTGTCTGCATGGCTCCATTTTGCTGCTGTGTAGAGATACCTTTGGGATGTCAGGCCTGCAGCGACGCACTTACCTGACAGCACGGAGGAGACAGCAGCGAAGGCATTGAGCTTCAACCCACAGACAGGATTGCCAGTATGTAGCATTTCCACCACCAGGAGGATGAAGCTGATGAGTAGCAGGCTAATATACAGCATCTCTGACCCCAGTGACAGCCACAGGATTCCTGCCAGCAACCAGAGACCCCTCAAGTCAGTACAGGCTGCCTTCTCCCAGGGACAGTACTCCCCCTTCCCAACACAATCCTGAAAGGATGTCCACTGTACAGAGGGGATAGAAGGAAAACAATAACACCCAGCAGCAATCGCCCCAGCCTGTGAGCAAGGGCTCAAAGGATGCTGAAGGGGACAGAGAGTCTGTCACACAAGATGGCTTGGCTGGTCTGGCAAAGCAAAAACTGAAAGCAACTACAAGCTGTCTGTAAATAGACCGGAATTATTCATAAACAGCAAGTAAGAAGCCATGGGACAAAAGGCCAGGGAAAATGCTATTGAGTTTGAGCACAAAAACAAGTGGTCACAAGTTGGCCACTAACACAGCTCAGCTGGACATTAGAAGGTTCTTAATCATTATTGTAGTGACATTCAGAGTAGGTTCAAGAGTGGAAGCAAATGACTTTCAAACTGCGACTCAACTGGTTAAGAAAATAATTGTTTGTTATGTCCTCTGTGATGGGTGGGACCTGGCCTCTGGAATTGAGGAGGCCTCTTGCAGGCATATATTTCTCATTGAAACCTCAATTAAATTGAAACTATATTCCCCAGTGTGGATATCCATCCAGGGCAATAACATTCATCACTCTCCCTGCTGCTTGAACAGAGTGCAGGTACCTTCATGCTGGGATTATAAGCGGGACTTAAGTGAGTAGGACTTGTAGGAAAATGAGAAAAGGCACTCTGTAATTCTGCACTGTGGAAGAGCACAGAATTCACCAAGGAAGAATATTAATCTGATAAATGAAGCAGCACTGTGAACTCTACAGTTAGCAACAGCATGGCCTAGAGGAGGCAATCAACTGGGGAAAGGAGTGTGAAGAAAACCCTCATTAATGTGGCACTGACTTGACTCCTAGACGCCATTAGTGCCATACAGTCACCCAGCTCTTCAGCAGGAATTGATGAGATGCATTCCCCACTTACAGGAGCTGGTTTACTTGCTGCAGCAATATCAGGGAGAGAATTTCAATAGACGCCAGGCTGCCGTAAGTGTCCCGGAGGCCAGAGGCACCACACGTGCAGAGGTCTCTCCATTGCTTACTCTGGGAGTCCAGGCTCACCACGTAGGCTGGTCTTGATGCCTATGTGATGTAGAGCTGCTTTGTATACCCCAGGCTCAGCCAGCCCACCTCGAAATTGCCATCACACTACCTTCTCTAGTGTTGACTAACTATACCCGGCAGCTGGCTGTGGAGGCCCAGGTCATGTTAAGGTGATGCTGTGTGCAGGAAGGGGTGAAAGCAGGTAACAGAGCTGTTAAGCTCACAATGCCACTGCTAAGCTCACAACGATCTTCTGATTAATTTGTAGGAACTCAATGTCTTACAGAATGTGGCCTTTCTTTCAAATTTGTGTTGAAAATAGACATAGGGCAGTTGAGGGGGGGAAAAAGAAAGATTTACAAAGACCAGTTGCACAAATCTTTTAGGAAAACAGGCTTTGAGGAAGATAATGGAAGCAATAAGGACAGAGGCCTGGACAGCGAGTAGAGCACAAGAGGGCAAGAAAGAAAATGATTTACTACCCTTTGTGAACTGAACACTTCAAGGTACATGCAAGAGTGGCTCCCTTCGCTATTAAGTCATTCATTTCTGACAACGTGGAGATCTGCATGACTTCAAAATGGTCTGGTAACATCATTTGATTTGTATAAATATTGTTTACAAAAAGAATAAGCAGGAGACCTTATTCCACTCTGCTGGTCTGTCCAGAGTGACACAGCTAATCTGCATGGTGATTCCACAATACTTTACTCACATTGGACCCTTTACCTGTGAATGCAAATGGCTTTATAAAAGTTAGGTCAGTAGACTTAGCCATTGCTTTTGAAATGGAAGAAACAAGGCTGAGAAAGATTCCCAGAGAAAGAAGACTAGATCCTCAAAAGGACTAATCTCTCTGCTAGCTGTTGTGACTCCCAGGTTTGCGTTCCAGCCCTTGCTCTAGTGACTTAAACACTGATACAGGCTCTGCACCCCCAGCCCTCCCCTTCACCTATAAACATCTTCTCAATTGACATGCTTCCAGTCTCCAGCTCAGGAAACAGTTAGCAAGCTGACACCAATTGTAATGATTTCAAAAGGAAATCACCTGTCTCCATCACATGTGCACACATACACACAGGTATACTGAAGTTATTCCCAGGATAATTTGCAGGATGTGATCAGAGCATTCACTGGGAAGGGGAAACCCCTCCAAGCAAAGGAGGGGACTAACTATAGGCAAACAATCCAAGCCTCAGCTCCCAGAAATGGCAGGACAGCTGTATTCATAATAGATGGCTGTTTTCTAGCACCATGTTTTCTGGATGACTATTGTGAGCTCTCCAGCCTAAAGGAAGCTTTACATGTAATGAGGCTAGGGTTTCACCCAGAAGGTTGAACTTTCCGATGTCTTGATCACTTACTGCAAAGTAAGAGACAGTTCAGCACCCAGAGGCAACACATTAAACCCCAAAAATCAAGCATTGAGTCAATACCCAGCATGTGTGGGAAGAACTGCCTTTGGGTGGTTTCTGTCCCCTTCCCACTGACAACAGCCAGGTGACAAGCATATACTGGGCACCTATTAGATGGGGCAAATCCCACTTCATGGGAGGGGACCTGAGGTTTCTAGCAGTGACCTTATGGATGGCAGCAGTTTAGGCAAATATCTGGGAGCAATTTGTTCTTTTAGCATCTATGAGACCAGGATTTCACCCTGACTCTTCAGGGACCCACTCTGCTGTCCCCACACAGGTCGCCCATTCCAAGAAGGCACACTGGGCAGCTATGCTGAGATAAAGAGACTTGCTCTTACCTCTCTCTGCTGGTGGAGAAAGCTCAATAAAGCTACGGCATTTCTCCTCTGAAACACAAACAGAAGGGTATTAGTTTGTAAAACAAGGCAGAGAACGGAAGGAAAGAAAATCTCTCCCCCCCTCTTTCTCTCTTCACTGTGTATCTCTAGTCAAATGAGCATATTCATCAGATCTTCTCGCCTCTGCTCTCTTTCTGACCTCCTTTCCGGACCTTCATTGGGGCAAGGCAAGCAAAGATAATGCCTGCCTGGAAAACTAGAGGTAGCCTTTCCAGAAAAACTTCAGCAATTTGCAAACACTAGGAGCCCCTGGTGAAGATTTAAATCCACTCCTATTCACACACTGCTACAAGTATCTGAGGACTGCTGCTCAGGCCTATTACGGATGTAGCACACAACAGACTACCGACTCACCACTTCTGCTGAGGATGTGAATTCTCACTCACCCCCATCCCAGGCAGAGCAGTGCTCAGCACTGCTTTCCAAAGAAAGAAAAGGACCTCTTCCCAAATGAAATACTGCATGAGATGTGAGTCCCTTTCTGTGACAGAGAATCACATAGAAAGGTGGTCTTCTGTCCTCACATTTTAGGCATTTTAGGCATTTTTAGTTCATATTTGTTTTGGCTATTTATGGTGGCCAGATTATGACACACACTATTATCTCAAATGAGTATCCATTATTATGTGCAAGTCTTCCTGAGCATTACTGCATTTGAGGGTTCTCTTTCCTGCATGTCTACTTGGTAGATTATTTTCTCCTAGAAGAATCAGCCAGCAGTTTTTCTTGTAAGAATCTCATTTTGTTAATTTCTATCCCCAGTTCTAATCTTTCCCAATCCCCTGTATTACTTCTGTCATCCATGGCACTTAGGATTCTACCCAGTTTAGTTCCTTCTGCAGTCTTCATTAACTTGCTGTTTGCTACTTCACCTATAACTTCATTGAGGTTATTCAGTAATGGTTCATCTAAAGCTGATCCTGAGATCAGCCTGAATTAACTCCTTTCTCCATCTCTCCAGCTCAGGCTCTCAGGCTTCTTTTGCTGATCACAGACATTTTTCCTTTTTCTTTCTTTCTTTCTTTTTTTTTTTTTTTTGCCTCTGCACTTCCTTCAGCGACCCATAGCAGTGGCTGGATTCTACTCAACGTATACAAAGTAGGGGTAAGACTGACCATGAATGTGCATTCTGCCCTGTGCTGTACTGCAGTCCAGATGCAACACGCTCCCTGCACTCCCTTCAGGCATCAGGGTTAGTTCAGGATTGCCCAGTGGCCAGACAACTCTTTCAGAGAAAGTTGTCAAATGATGTAGTCCCATTCGCACAAGCCCCATGGAAACACACCCCAGCCCAAACCAGGCCCAAATAAACACATCTCCTTCTGCAGCATATTTGGAAACACTCACAATGAACCTGCCCTCTCATTAGCACTCAAGTATTTCAAGCACATTCCCTCCTGCTCCCGCTCCCCTGCTGTCTGGTTGTATTCACTAGCTCTTTATTTTCAACCTTGATTCTAGCAGATAAGAAAATGAGAAACATCATATTAAAATGGTCAGTTAGTTAAAGAAGGTAATATGTTTGTGCTTGAGGAGAACTGCAAGGATGGCGATAGGCTCAGAGAAATGGGCTTGATGAAAGAGCCTTTCATCACACTATCTTTAGCTACAAATCTCACTGCTGGCCACCTTGTGGGTCAGTTCTGATCCATGATGTGTCTGCCAGGCCATAAGGAGCTGCAGAGCATCCACCAGAGCTGGCGTGGCACAAGTTCCAGCAGAAGGACTTGAGCAGCGCTGGCCAGAAGCAAATCGGGTAAAAGTAGACACACCAAAAGGGTCTAGTACAGCCTGCGTGACCAGCCCCTGGCACTCCAATATGCCCTGTGGGCTTATAGTGCCGATCCCATGTGGTCAAAATTCACAAGTCAACCTTCCACAATATGACAGAAACACCTAACAATTACAACACTTCAGCTCTACTCCTCCAGCCAATTTCCCTACTAGCTTTGGGTCCTCCAGGATCAGATCCTCAAGGTTTTCTTAGCATCTATAAGGTAATACTGTTTTCTTTATTTACCTTTTTTTTTTTTTTTAAAGAAAAGCCCAGCTCCCGTTCAATTCACACAGCACCTTAGTTTGGTGATTTAGGGAAAAAATCAACTATTCCAGTTCTCACATGAGTTGGCAGCACTGAACATTTGATTTCTCAGAGGGCATACCCAGATGTGCCCTGCAGAGCATGACGTGAGCTGTGTGTATGAATGGAGATATGGAGAAAGGGAAAGGAGGCTCACTCCAGGTCATATCAGGATGAACAGAGCTATTACAAAGTCACTGCCACCACCACTACCTGTACTCCACACTCCCTGTTCCAGACAGAAGGGGACACCAGGGACAACCATCCTCCTTTGCCGCCTCTGAAAAGATCCTTCCCAATGAAGGACAGAATATAATGACCACAGCAGTGTACAGGGCAGATGCTATCTAGGAATATGAAGAAGGCTTTTCTGCTAAGTGCTGCCAGCCTCCTGCCTTTCACTTCCAAATTCTTGTGAAGTAAAAACAAGGGAAGCTGTGGCTGGTTGGGTAAGACACTACCTGGCCCTTCCATGCTCTCTTCACAGGAAAGCCACATGCCCGTGTGGAAGTATCTGAAGGCAAAGCGGTCATCCCCCGTCTCCCAGCTGTAGTGCACCACGTCCTGGGATGAAGAATTGCTAGCACCCGCGTCAGGCGGCAGGGGGACACCGATGCACTTGCTGGCTTTACTCTTCCCACACAAAGGCTTGGGCACCTTCTGGGTCCCGGTACACCAGTAGCTGCCAAGTAAGGCAGTGGTGGAAAGGCTGAGAGCCAGCAGGTTCAGGATGACTGCCAGGAAAGCACGGCGCCATGGCAACCCCTTCAGCAGCTCCATCTACAACAAACAAACAGGAAGAACTTTCACACCTGCCAGTTGTCCCTTCTTATGTTATGAATCCCAGCGCTTTCCAGGGGGCATCTGTGGGGAGGGGATATGCGAAGGAGAAGCATTCTCCCCCTCGCAACATCCCAAAATCTTACCCGGTAAGGAAGAACCATTTCCTGAAAGCCATGCCTGTGGAACAGTAGCTCAGCTTCAACCATTTCAAAATACACTGAACATCTGTACTGGGGAAAGGGCTGAGTAGCAACCCTGTGGACCTATGGGGCTGAGTGCGCTGGTGTGTGTGAGCACATGAGCATAATTAAAGAGACAAGCATATTCACTCTGTCTCAGAGATGGCATGAAAAAGCTGTTAACCAACTTCCTCAAAATACCAAGCATTGTCATTAGATGGGACACGAATACTTTGCGCAACTAAATGAGATTTCTTGCCATTAGGTGTCCCAAAACACTTTTTAAACACAGCTAGGGAGGCTGGTAGCGTGTTGATTTCATAGTGGGAAAAGCAAGGCAGGAAATATTCCAGGACTGCCGAAGGTCACACGTCAAACCAGTGACCTGGTCAAGAGGGGCACCCACCTATCCAGACCTGGCAGCTTGAGTTCAAACCACCAAGCAGCACCTCCCACCTGAGCAAGCACTGCTCTGCACATTAGAAATCTGGTACGGTGTCTGCACATTAGAAATTTGGTACGGTGGTGGGATGACAGTGTCTCTGCTCTCACACAAAGCGTCAAGGGGATTTCTTCAGTGCAAACTTTCCCACAGACACTCTTGGCAGTTTCATCTCATCTGAAAAAGTAATTCTGAAAGCAATTTGTGAACTAAGCTCCTGTGGTCTTTTTCACTCAGAGGGAAGCTTAAGATTTTAAGGTTCCTGCAAAACCCTGCACTGACTTCTGAGAAGCCTCTTATCACTCCATAGATTGATTAGATGTCATCTACCCACGCATCAACTTTCATGTAATCAACGCAAGCATCTTCCCACATGGCACTCCCTATGTTTGGCACAACTTCATCCAGATACTCCCACCCTTTCCTATTTATGACTCTCAAAAGCTATTTGGCCATGAGTAGATTCAGTTTGCACATACATTGCCTGCTGCTGGTCCTCTTCCCATAACTCCTGTTGATTCACCCAATGTTGAAAGTGTGAGAAAGGCCCAGCATATTGTGGACGCTACTATAAATAAATGACACTAGACTGAACATGGCATTGTTTGTATCAAGCTAACAGGATACAGCGACAAGTGATGTGGTTAAGAAGCATTTGTTCTGTTAAGCAGCAAGCTCAGAAATGTGGTCAATAACAATGGTGCTGAAGCTCCTCTTGGGGGACAGAATTTGACTAGCATCTCATCGCACTGAGAAAACAGTGCCTGATCCAGAACACTCTGAGCAGAGGCAAGAAAATACCCAGCTCCTGAAAATGCCCTAAATTGTCTAATGTCCTGGCTTCTTTTGTCTCTTCTTCTAAGCATTTCTTTTTCTCAGTAATGTCCCCGTAGAAGGACACTGGAGATGTACCATCTTAATGTTACCATAACTAATGAGTTCCATGATTTGAAAGCACGTTTGATATCACAACCTTCACAGAGTAGATATTTGTTAGGAATATACTATTATGTAAAGGTTTCTGGCGAAGACTGGTGACAAATTCTTTCCCTAAAACTTTCTCTAGTGGAAAATCAGCTTACAACTAAAATGGAAATTATAGATAAAATTACTTTCCTCAAAGAATTTAATTTTTCATCTCAAAATAGAAACCCTCAGCACACAAAGTTTTTCAGTTTTTCATCAACTCTGGATTATAACATTTTCTGCCATCAGGTTTTGGGTTGCTCCTATTGTTATTTTTAAAAAAATCCTTCCACTCACAATATTGACAAAATTCATTTTTCTGATTTAAATGTTCAGTAATGGGAAAAATATTCTCTCTAGTTGATTTGTGATATTCGTTCAAAAGGCGTTATCATTTCAGAATAAACAACAAGAAAAAAGGCAAAGAAAAAGAAAGCAAGAGAGTCAGAAGAACGAATTGGATCAAAGATGCAGAGAAAATACGGAATGAGAAGCTAATCTAAACCGCTCCCTCATGAGAACATTGTCAGAAAAGTTTCCCTGTATAAAAGCAAAGCACTTACCGCCAATAACTGACCAGAAGTCGCCTAGTGTATAGATAGACCCCCCAAGGAAAAAAAAAAAAAAAAGAATTTACCTTGCCAGTAGGTCCTTGAAGTCCTGTTAATTTAGGGGAGCACTACAGAAATTGGACTCAGACTTTGCCTTCTCTATTTTGATCACCTCTTGATCTTCCAAGAAACCAAACTGCTTCAAAACCCTTTTCTTTTGTCTCCTCCCCTCCTCCCTTGCTCACTCCCCTTACCCAGCGCTTATTAAATGCTATCCTTCCGCCAGCAGCTGTTTTGTGGAAACTGGTCATTTTATAATCCACAATGCAATCACAGCACAGCTGTTCTGGGAGATTATATAGGAAGCGACTGGTGCTGCGGGCTGGGATTAAGTGCAAAAGGGTGACCTGTATTCACGGAGTAAAAAGTTCCAATAAAGCACGGGAAGATCGCAGATGTTTCCATGCAACGGCTGTTTGGGAGCTAGTACGGAATGAGTTAGTGGCTCTCTGGTCAATGCTTGAGGGGACAAGCGACTTTAGCTCAGAAACTACCAAGGCCCTTGGCATCAATTAACCCCCAGTCTCAGCAGAATGGCAAAGGCCACAAGTCTCCCAGCTCTGTGGTATCTTCTTGGCCAGACCTGCCAATCACAGAAAGGGGAGAGGAAAAACGGGGAAGGGAAAGTTTATGCGAGTGAATCTGCTCTGAGCACCGAGGATTTGAGAGACTAAAGGGATGTCAGTCCCACTCTTCCCACCAGCACTAGAGATTTTAATGAAAAAAGGAAGCCCTCAGCAGAATCGCTGCTGAATGACAGACTGTCACCATGGCATCACAATGGTAGAGGCATATGAAACAGTAATGAGTCAGAGAAGTCCAGTACTCAAAGGATGAGAGCACAGGGAAGACTTTTAGCGTCCCTCGTAGTGGCAGCTTTTACCAAGGCATGGAGTTCACCAGGAATTCCAGCTCCAGCAGGATCACATCAGATGAATTTGGGAAGCTAGTAAGGAGAGACAGAAAGATTCACACTCACCCCAAGTCCCCTCTGATCTCTTGTCCTAAAGGCTTAAAGGCCCCACAACACTTGCACCTTGTTTGGCATCAGAATAGGACTGTAAAGAGGGTATCACCTCTCACGAGGAAGAACTTTGCCCGACAGCCACTAGAGGGCATGGAGCAGCTCTTCCGCGCCCATTAAATCAAACTGCAAGGGAGAGAAGCAACCCAAAGATACACACCTCATCTCACCCACCAAGGACCCCTTTGCTTTGTTCAGTGCCAAGTGGGAGAGGCTCCTACCACTGCTTGGAGGAAGCATGGCATTTATACCCCGCTATTCTGCCAGGAATGACAGAAGGAAACAGTGCTCTGTATATCCTCATCTCCTAGTTTTAATATGAGAGCACAGAGATTGAGAGCTAGGTATACAAATAGCTCTGGTGACAGCATAACCTGTGACAGGCCCACAGAGCTGACAGGTTTGCAGGCCTGTACACGGGCAGTGCTATCAGAGACTCCTGACCCCTTTTGCCCTGAAGCCCAACAGTTGATAGCTGTGCAGTTATTTTAATCCTAGACACTACATAAGCTCCTCTAATGTAGATAATCATTTCTAAGACAGGCTAACTGGAAGCAGTGCCGAGTGCGTCCATGCTTCATAGGCTGACTGTTCTGTTTGACAGAGATGTACTTTACAGCTGACATTGTTTACAAGGGAGAGTTGCAATCTTTTTCATTGGTCAGCATTTCCACATCTGAACACCTTAAGTCTGGCTTCTAAACTCTCAATAAAAATAGCCTGGTGCTCAAGCTCAAGAATAGATAAAGTCCATATTATTTCTGATAATCCTTGATGCAAGACTGTTCTTTAACATTTTCTAATTTTAAGCATGTTGAGAGTTTCATTAAGATCCAGAATGCTATGTGGGTTTCTAAAGCTAGGATCATATACATGTTTATTGATGAAATGAGACCTAATTTAGCTATCTACAGATAGGAATACACGCTTAAAAATAAATTTATCAGAAATATGTTAAGGTTTCAAAAATAAATATATATCAGACTCAGTATTCTGAATAATGGCAGATATTTATCCTTCCAGAAGATGGCAATCTTTCTCTAGTCTTTTCTTTGGGAGTCTCTGTTGCTCACGTGTATGTTGGGATGAAGCAACACCCAAGTTGAGATTTCTATTCCTTCCCATTTTTTTGCTCTGTCTTCCTCTTTTTTTCCATTAGTATGAACATTCTCTTTCCCTCACCTGAGAGAGTCCTCCTCTTTGAGTTGCCTGAGCCCCAGAGACTTTTGAAATGACTGAGGAAGAAAAAAAGAGGAATGAATGGAAAAACTTAGTAGGTCATTTGTTCCACCTTCTGCCCTGTACAGAACTGATCTTTCTAATATATTTTCCAGTATTTTGTCAAGAATCATATTAACTTTCTCAAGCAACAGTGTTCCATCCACAGATTATTGTGCACAGCTCATAGGACGTCAACGCCAGAGCACATTTCCTGACATTTCTATCCTATTTCTTTTAAAATCTTCATTTCCAGCATTGCCTTAATCTGACCAATTTGGACAGGAAAACAAAGGTCGATCTATCTTTCACCACACTGCTCCTTGCAGTTTTCTCCTCTCAGCTTCTGGCTTTTCCCACCATAGCTCAGGCTTCACTAGAGGTTTTAGATGCCTCTCTCTCTTTGAACTCTACAGCAGCTGGTCCCTGGTGACTCGTTTAAAGATCACCCATTGAAGTAAATGCCCATAGTATGTTGATTTCCTGTGCAACCAGCCAAGTGCTTTGCTTATATAAACAAATGAAATGCAAAACAATCTTAGCACAACACCTCTAAGAAGATTGCCATCTCTACAAAAGCCGGCCTGTTTAGCAGTGGTGCATTTTTATCCTGGCTGTATCACATCAACACTTAGGGTGTATCCTGCCCAAAAGTGACCCTGTCAGCTCTCAAGAACATCAGTGGAAAAGAAGGATGAGAAGCCCTTACCAGAACAGGGCCCAAGAACGGTAATATTTAACTGGTAGATCTCAAGAGGCACACGGCTCTTCATAACTCTGCATGCAGCTCTCCTCTCCAGGGAAACCAGGTATCACACACTGTTCTGACATTGGTTCGTCAGCTGTCCTGAAGAGGAAGAGAGAGCAGGAAGAATGGTAATTTACAACTATAAAGTCACTCTGTGAAACTTGGACAAAAGATACATTCATACTCACCCATCATACTGCAGATTTTTCACACATGACCCTTCCGTGTTCCCTTCCACCCACAACTCCTGTTTTTGCTGTTTTTATAGGAAGACAGTCCAGACCTGCAGATCCCTCCTTTAGAGTCACATAGAAAGCAGCATATCTCTGGGTGGCAGTGACACTAAGAGAGCCAGACTTCTCAAAACCAGTGACAGACTGCAAATGCCAGATTTCTCCCTGAGCTCTGAATAATTCCACTCAGATTGTAACCTTTATTTAGCTGTTTGCATGATGCATTAACTCTTACTCTGCAAATGACCTCACCAGGCATATTTTTTTTACTCAAAGCACATTTAAAGGTGAATTCTGGTTTTAAACACACACAGCTTACATTGCTAGACACAGTCTGTGGCAGAACAGATATGTAAATTTAAATGGGACAAGAAAATGCATCTTAAGGGTAAACAAACAAGCTTTCCATCAATTTGGACGTAAATTTACATTTCTTTTTATTTTCTTCCAAAACAAGTCTTAGTTGGGTGGGTTTTCTTTTTCAAATTAATATTCCTTGTTATGGTCCATTTAAAAAAAAAAAAAAACATTGACTTAGAAAGTAGACATATAAACTAAAAAAAGGGAAAAAAATCAAATGCAGTAACACAGTCTTTCAGGACTCACCAGAGATTCCAGATGTCTAATTTTCTACATATGCCACACAAGACTATTTAAAGGGGGTTGCTTTTCACAGGTATGTAAATGCTGGTACTTCTAAGATGCTTTTAACTGAGCACACAGAAAAAATATTATTTATGAAATTTAGCCAACCATAAACTGTAAGTAGACAAAAAAGACAACTTTTTAATGTAGATCTATAAGGATATTAATAAGATGCAATACAGAAAAGGGGGCATGCAAATTCCCAATGCTTATCCACTGCTCTCTGTCTCCATCAGCTCTTCTGAGGCAGCCAATGAAATAATACAAGATAGGAATGGACTCACCTGATTCTTTCTTTCTCTCTGACTGAACATGTATCCATTCAGAAACTCCACGAGATCTGATCAGATGCTCTGAAATGTACCAGGTTTGTCATTTTATTGATGGGTTCATACTTTCTGAGCATGCTAATTTATCACAGTACATTATGTCAGCTGCAGAATCAGCAGGGCTTCCACTTCTGCAGAATACGTCTTTATAATTTGGTAGCCGTCTTAATGAAAATTCTTGCCAGTTTTAAATGAGGGCTCACTCTCATACTTCACAGAATCACAAACACCCAGAGTCAATAGCTGTCATGGGCTCATATTTTTTTAATGTCAAGAGCAACCATTATGACAATGTACTTTGATCTCCTGTGTAACAGAAACCCAAGAACTGCAGACAATCATTTCTAATGAAATACAGAGCTTCTGCTGGAACTATAGCATATATTTTGTATGACTAACTAGTATTGACTGTGCAACCAGATATGATGGAAAACCCATCACACCACCAGAAAAGTTGTTCCAATGGTTAATTAACCTCATTCTTAAAACTTTGCTCTTGATTTGTAATCACAATGTGTCTGCTTTAGCTTTCCCACTTCATCAGGCTGTTCCAACACACAAGTAAATAGCCAGTGAAGTGATTTCCTAAAAATGTTATTGTAAGAGTCACAAATCAATGCATTTCATTAAAGGCATACAGTGTGATCTAATATGCTGGCTGACAGCCCAAATTCCTGGTTCTGTTCTTGGCTCTGACACATAATTTTCCCCTCCTATTGGCCAAGTCATTAGCGGTGCGTTTACACTGCAGTCAAAGCAGTGGCAGTAATGGGGAGTAAACATTCAGCGCTTGTTTTAATTGGGTGTTGCTAGCAATTTCGCTTCAGCAATATGGAGCACAACACAGGATGCAAACCTCACTCCAGAAACAGGGTAAATTAGTCTGTGCTGAACTCCACATTGCCATGGCTAGGGTGATAGATCAAAAATAGCTCGGTTCCCCACCACATAAACACGGTTTTTAATCATTCCCACAGACACAAATCTACAGCACAGCTGACCCTTGTTGATATTGGAATCACCATAAAGCCAGCGGGAAAGAGACACTGTGTTTTGCTAGCAACAAATCTTGAGGCTATAAAATTAATACGTGCACAGAATACATTACATATGCAGATGACCTTGGAATCAAAGTAGCATTTAATATCAATTTTAAAGCAAAAAAAAAAAAAAAAACCCAGAAAAAAAACAGTTGAAATATAACGCATTTTGATTTCACATATGGAAATGAGTAAGTCAAAGCAATTTTTGATTTGTCTTTTCCTCCATTGCATTGTAGTGGATCAGAGTAAACAGAGCTGGAAGAGACTTCCAAAAATTATCTAGTCAGTCTGCGTGTATCAACATAACTTAGGCACCCTGAAGACCTTCTAGCCTCCTGTTAAAATTCCCTGAGGCAAACACTACTACATCCTGGACTGAAGTCAGTATATTCCCTTGTAAAATCTTGATGTCAACCAAGTCACATTAGCACAGAAAGCTGTCCTCTCTCTGCTAAATACCTCAGGTCTCCATCCCACATCTGAATAATTTACTTACGTGGATCATCCCCTTGAGGTCATTGGAACTACATAGTTTACTAGTTATACTCACACGCTAGTATTGTAGGAACCAATGCTCCAAAGGAAGACTCTAAGTTAGCAGGAGAGGTTTGGAAATCAAAAAGAGTGAGTAAGACAGAGACTTAGCTTTTTTGAGGTGAGGCGTGGGAGGTGTTTTCGTTCTTTAGCTATTAAAAACTCCTTGCTTTGGTATTCTAGAAGAAAAAAAGAGAGAACTGGGAAGGGAAGGCTTTAGGCACGAGGAGGCAACATGGTAGGAGGTACAGCCACCAGGGTGGCCAAAAGACACAAGAGTTTCTCAGACTGGCTTCACTAATGAAATAGAGATGATAGTGAGCACAGGTCAGGGGAGCCAAGGTCTAATACGCTGGTCCAAAGGGAAAAATAAAACCAGCTTTCTTTACAGCGCTGAACAGAGGTTATATTACAGCGGGTGCTCTGAAAACAACAGTGCTAAATATGATAATTGCACATTTTATCTTTCTGGATATCCAGGTAATTATCCAGGATTAGGGCCTGAGGGCATCTCTTTTTTTCCCAATTTAATGAGGATTTCACACTCCCCTTCCCTCCCTTCGTGGCGCTCTGAAGTTGTCTCGTCACGGCCAGTCGCGTGCAAGAGCTGGCGCGCCCCATCCCCTGCACTC